TTTTTGTCATAGGTACTTTCCAAAATGAACAAATTTCTTAGAACTTCAAAACTCACAAATTTGTAAAAAATTCGCTACAAAAAATATTTATTGATAGACTAGTATGCATTTAAAATTATATATATTTATAATATTAAAATTTAAAAGCATTGTATCACTGTCAGGCAATCTAAAAAAATATGCAAGTGCATTAAAATCTAAGTTCTACTTATCACTTTATGGTATATATCAGAGATGGGCAACTCAAAGTAACTAGCGGGCCACTTTAAAGTACTTTAAAATTTAGCGGGCCGCAGTGCATAGGAGAAAGCAAAAAAAAAAAAAAGGTCCTTCAAATATACTAACATTTATTTATTATCTTTATTTATTTATATTTACAATTATTATTTAATGTGATACTTGAGGATGAGGTTTTTCAATAGACAATTTAGTAAAATCCACTTATATTTCTGTAGTTGAAACTCTTAGTAAATGTCCCAAGGTTTCATCTGTTAAACGATTTAATAATTTAGTTTCGATTTAAAACTAGATAAGAATTTATAACCACATTTTATCGAAAAATGTAATAAAATAAAATAAAATACAGATAAGCGCTAAAATTATATGAAGTAATTTGAAAATGTAGTGCGGGCCAGATAAAAAAGGTACGCGGCCCGCCAGTTGCCCATCCTTGGTATATATGGTACGAATAAACACGACTACTGAGTACTGACTAGTTACACAATTTTATAGTTACGCCACTATTCTTGATTTATCCTTGCTAACAAAATATTGTTATCTACACATTAATATTGATTTAATACTATACCATAGGTACTAATGTACTACAGGCATTAAATAATCTTGTATTAGGAAGTACAAGATAATACAGTTTTTTTTTTACCAACCTGCTGTATTGTAGTATGCGTTGTAACAATTATAAGGCAAAACCTTAAAGAGTATTGTAGCATCCATCCAATGAATAAAATCTTTGTTCGAAACACTCGTTTATTAAATGAACTATTTGAAAATGAGTTAAATACTTCAGCATAAACGTCGAATAATGTCGTAATTGCTAAAAAAATGATTGAGAGGACCATTTGAAAGCCAAACAAACATTTTAAGTCGTTTATTGCTTCCCGAGATAACCAGTGTTCAATTCTTAATAGCTCGATAGTATTCGCCATTGAATATCTTTTATCATTTGGACAGTAAAAATCTTTTTCGTATATAATCACACTAGACGACAACGTATCATCTCTACTCTTTGGAGTTGCTACTCTGTTTGCAATAAACGGATATCGTACATTATAGTTGTAGTTCTGTTCATAATTTATTTGAATTAACTTCTCATTTATACATCGAAACTTCGTGTACACCACAAAACCCTGGATGGCGAAATGCAATTCCGTGCACACCATGCTCCAGTTATGAATATAATAGAAAATAAAATATGTAGTCATTAAAATGAAATTGATATGATTATTAAACAGATAAAACAATTTTAAGCTATTTATAGGTATAGTAATCAAAAGGCACAAGAAAATCATGGTAAAAGAAAAATACTTGATGTGTCTTAAAGCGATGGTGTTCATTGGTGTATAAATCTCAAATCCTTCTAATGTTCTTTTATACTTTTGATATTTTTTTATACTTAACGTTGTATATAACTATCATTTTTGATATCAATGAAGTTATTACTCCCACACTACATGTCACTGCTGTTAAAGACATGTTAAACTCCTTTGACCAGTCGTCAAACTTAGGGTTTACCAAAGAATACAACATAAATTGCATTATTCCAGTGATAAATAACATAATAGAGTATGCAGTTTGATATATGTTATCATCGTTATTTGATTCGAAGAATATTACACCAAAATATTGTAAATCAATCATAATTGGTCAGGTACACGTGTCGCCTCAATGTAATACAATATAAAACATACATGAAGTAGATACCTACACAAACATACAAACTTTAAATATTATTGTACAACATACAATTTATTATTATTCGTAATTATTATTAGATATTACTGAATACTTTAAAAAGATTATCATAAAAATGTAATGCTTTTTAAAATATTGAGTGTTTATTGTTCAAAGAATCGAATTCTCTTTCAAACCTTAGTTGAATAATTATTTTAATATCTACCTACTTAAAATGAAAATAAAAAACGTATTATCGTGTAGTGGACAGTGGTAATTTTTGGTGTTCAAAGTGGGTGATGTCCAATCCTTGCAAAAGTTTAAGTAAAAAAAATGAAGTTTTTATCTAAAATATTATAGTACGATACTACGATATGTATTGAAATATTTATACAAATATTTAAAAAATTATTTTAATATCTACAGGCTACAAATATAATACCTAATGATATGCTTAAATTGTAACTTGCTATAAATTGTATTAATTAACGGTAAAAAATTAATTATTTTTATACATGAATTCAAGTCTTCTCTCTATAAAATAATAACTAATACGAAACGCCGTGACTACCGTGTATGTTTGCACACCACGATCTTATTAATTTTTGTCAACCCCCAACTCAATGACTCAACAAATTTACACAAATAAATGGTGTTCTGACTGAGCTGCACACCAAATGATGTGTATTTATTACATAACTTCAATAAATTGTAGGAGTAATATTTTCGCCTATCGGGTATATAAGTAAACACACATTTAAAAAAAATAAATTATTATAGTTAAGCTTAACTATATAAAAATTATGTAAAAAATTGAAAATCCATTGTTAATATTTTATTTATATTAATTTATATGGTATTAACGTCAAATTTGTTTAAACCATTTTATAGTTATAGGTAAGTTAGTATTCACTTATAATTTTTTAAATTATTAAAATCTAGTAAAATTATTTATTGTAATTACAACACAATATAATAATTATTATTGGGTAGGTATACAACTCGTTTTTTTTTCTCCAAAAAACAGTTCTTATTTTAATTTTAATATTTTACTGTATTTACAAATAGAAAAATGAATTGTTATATAGCAATAGGTACATAGGTTAGGTATATGCGATATACTGGTAGTAAAAAGTAAAATATCAATTAGAATATGTCATAAAAAATGATTTTGTAATTTTAACTTTTAACAAATAAGTACTTATAACTTAGATACAACAGGTACCTCTAAATAGTAAATACCTGTGGTATATTCGTATTAAATGGTTTAGGCCACAGGCCCGGACTAAAGCGGAGTATCCTTAAAGCCCACAATGTATGAAACCTCTAGACAAAAATTAAAAATTCTAAATATCATGGTCACAAAAAATTAAGGAATTCCGACTTTCGGAGTCTTACCGTTGTTAAAATAACTGCTGATCTTTCCAGTGTTTACTGCTGAGGCCATTTAATATTGCCTGAGTTAGTGTCTTAGTGAGTTATAATTTATTTTAGATCAATGGTTTATGACTGCCGTAGCTCGTAAGAATTTCTAATATGTTCTAAGTTTAAACAAACGGAAACGGTAGAATTCTAGACACCGTAATTTTCTAGAATACAAAATTAGGTTAATATTTTGTTGAACTGAGTTTAAAAAGCTTTTAGAGCTTTCTAACAAATCGTCTTGTCCCTAGATGTATTGAGTGGAAGAGAATATTAATTATTAATATGAGAATACACTGAACGTCGAAAATTACGAAACTAGTTTTTAATCACAAAATATTATAATTTATAGATGTACCTACGAGTTGTAGTCTGTAGATAGGTATCCTACGAATGATAACCTATGTAAAGCAGAGAAAAAATTGACTACGACATAATATCATTTACTATTAAATTATAATCACATACCAAATCATAAATTATAACGTAGGTATCCAAATATACCAGTCTTCTGATTTCCAAAGCATCATTAGTCTAATCTTGAATAAATATTCCAAAGCTCTTCGAGTATACTGAATCTTACTAGCACAGCAAGATATTTCCATCATAAATAATGTAAAATGTTTTATTATCTACTCTAATTATACAAGTATATTACAAACTGCATTCTTATATCTATTATAATACTATTATCTACACCTAACGTATAAACAAATACCACGAATACTTCACAAAAATAGTGCATAATTAGATTTAGATGTTCATTATAGCCAATAAACATTTTAATTATTTAAACAATTTTTTTTTAATATATTTGTAACTATAACTTTATTATATATTATATATTTCTGTACCTGAATACGCAGCAGCACGTAATAATATATAATCATAAAATTGAATGTTGAAATATTACCAACATAAAAATTATTTAAACTGAACTAAAATATAATAAACAATAAAGTGTCAATTAATTTTTAGTATGACTTATTATGATGAATGTTCTGTTTAACCATTAAAAAGTACTTCAAACTGACTTGTTACAATTATTTATGAAGTATCAAACATTTAAATGTCAAAATTAATGATAGACCATTTTTATGTTATTTTAGTGGTTATGTTAGAGGAGTATAATCAACATTAAATTTCAAAATAGTCAGCTGTTAACACTTAAACCATAGTATATCAATAGTTTATACATAGAAATTAATATTCCAGATGAAATCTGTAATTATCATTATATGAATGTAAACTTTAACTAAGACTTTTGAGAAATTCTATATTTATACAATAGATAGTAATATCTATTTTATAATAGAAAATAAAAAAAGGACCTAAACTGATTGTTGGCCACTCCTCAAATTCCAGTTTTTTTTAACAACAGGTATTAATGGTCTTATAATATGTATTTAATTTTACAAAGATGTTTCAATCATTTAACCTATCAAAGTTTTGCTTTCTAAGCATATATGTATAAATATATGTCTGGACTAATGTTAAATGGTTACTCAATAATACCTAAATAAGAATTATAAATACTTTCTAAAATTAGCCAATGTATTATTTTAGATGAACATAACTCTTTCAATATTTTATCTGTATTCAAATATCAAAATGTCAAAATTTAACTCAATAAAGAATTTTTAAGGACAAAGAAAAGATTTAACAAATGGTATATATATTTTTTTTTTAATGTCCTTATATTAGATAATAATCAAATGTTGGAAATTACAAGTCATTCACTTCCCTCAAACGTCTGATTGCGGATCTTACAGTAGTTGCAGCTGTTGTAGAATATACATAAGCTCCACCTGCAACAGTTCTTCTACACCGTTTGCATGACCAAATTCCCACACAAGCTCTCTTCATGGATTCCTAAAAAAAAACAATATTATAATATCAGCATTTTTTTAAAATTAATATTGACATTAAAAAATCTTAGTACAATGAAATTTAGAAATTAGATAACTAATATATCATGTAGCTATGTTTCAAATTAAAAACATTTCTAATTTTTCCTTAGTAAGCAATAGACTTATTGGTTTCAATGAGGTTGGAGTGTCAAGTGGTTTGTCATGCTTTGTGAAAAAAATTATTTTAAAGAATTTTCATAAGATTAGAAACTATGAAAGTCTGAGTAAATATGCATGTCAGTTATATGAACTATGGATTTTTTTGAATTGTTAGATTATGTGGTAGACAAGTGGAAGAAGGTTTTAAAAGGTATCAACATAATTTAATTGTTGGAGTTTGAAAAATTTGTCTTTATCAGTCAGAAAAAGCAAGTTAGTATTATCAGGTTTTTTTAGGGGAATTGAGTGTTTTATATAATAATTTTTTAGTTTCATTATAAACAACTATCTAATGAAGGTTTTGTTAAAATATTTAGCTTAGTCAGTCTTTTTTAAAAAGTTATTTAGACTATTTATAGGGGCTTTTACTATTAAGACTATTAGAGAGCACAAATGATTAAATAGAAATGTGTTTGTGAGATGAGTTACTTATAGTATTCAACAAATTAGCCGGCAAATGAATGAGGGTCGTTAGGTTATTGACTGCTTTATAGATGTCATGTTTGGATTTTGGTTAAATTTTTAGATTGATGAAAAAATATATGGTTTGTTGTTATTTGATTGTAATGAAGCATTAATGTTTAAGATTGGACAAATGGTTAGATTACATTGAGACTAATGTTCACAGTACAATACAAATTACTGGGAATGTTTATAATAAATTTATTCAGAATATCTGTTTTTTTTAGAAGAAGTTGGCCACAAAGCATCTTCAGCTCTAATGTTTTGCATTATAGTTAATGCCTATTATAAAAGTATCGATTATAGTGTCAAAATCAGTATTGTTCAAATTATGTCCAGGAGGGTAATAAATAGCAGCAATAACAAATAATAATTATTTTATATGACTGTGATAGCACAAAATTTAAATAGTTTTCAGAAAAATTGGCAAATTAATAGAATTTTAATTTGATTTTTATAAGTGTAGCTATTTCACCATAAGCTGTACTGTCCAGTTATTAGATTTAAGCTATAACCAGAAACAGAGATGTAAGGGAGAGTAGTAAAATGGGTTCCAATGATGTAATGTCAATTAATTTATTTATTAACATGATTCTCCTGACCGCTTGCATTAAATAATACAATTAATAGTGATTAATTAGTGTAAGAACTATTATTTCTTATTTACTTAATAGGGATGAAATTACTTGGGTTAAAAGTGAAATCAGAGGATTGATGAGTGATTTAAGCTCGTTGATGAAGGATGTAAGGACTTAGGATATTTCAAAAGTAGGTGAAGGCAGTAATTGAGATGGTTGACTGGAAGTGGCCTGAGCATAAGAATTAGCAGTCAAATATGTTTTTTATTAATAAAAAATGATAATGGGTGATTTGGCTTTCATTAAAAAGTCAATATTTTAAACGTAACTAGATAAGGTTAACTGTTTTGATATAAATTAAGTACATTAAGATCGAAATATCTTTACCTTTCCGCAGAATGAACAGGTATATTTGCTGTGCTGGGTGATTTCAATTTTCTTGACCATCTTACGCAGCGAGGCACCATATCGAGTACCATATTTACCTACAATTCCTACTTTCTTAGTACGTTTGGCCTGTAATAATAAAATTATTCATTTTAGTAAACATAGTAAAAAAACAATACAATTTTTACGTAACTAAAGTCGAGTTTTATTTTGTTTAATTAAAAACACCATAGTTAAACAAGTTAAAACCGTAATACATCGCCAAAATTGAAAATATTGTAAATTATTTAATACAGAGATGTAGTAAGTTTTACTTGAACGATTATTCAGATAAATTTGGATAAACATACCATTTTGAAGGCGATGAAGTCTTCTTTCACTTACAAGTAAATAAATTAATAATACAAGTAACACTAACCAGAAGAGTTAGGTAAAGAAAAAGAGATTATATGATTGTACATTTTGTGAGGTTAAAACATTTTTACAGTCAGTGGTGCCCAGGAAATAACGAAACATATAGACAGTACAATATTTTATAAAAATAATTTATTTTTACATCGTAGTTATGATTTTTTTTAAATTTTTTAAAATACTTGAGATAATGAAATTTTAGTTAATAGTTCATGCTCATAGCTATAAAACAAAAAAAATAAAATTCGAAAATGGGGTTAAATTTAATTAATTATTATGGTATTGTAATTTATCACAGAATAACAGAATGTGGTAAAACTGTTTTTTAGCACTAGATAATATATTATCATTTTTAGTTTTTACGCTTATCTTAACCGTTATCAAGATTCAACTGAGCGGGATTTAATAATAAAGTTTTAAAAATGTTAAATGTTAAAAAATAATAATAATAAGCAATCATACATATCGTGTATATAATTCATCAGATCAGAATAATCTGAATATTAAAACTTTCAAAATATAAATTAACTATAAACAGCTGAGAAATAGAAGCTTGCTATTAAAACAGAAACATTTTAATTTATCGTGGAAGTGTAGAACCAACAGTAATAATTTTTCAATTAAATTATTAACGACTTTTTGTTTTTTTTTTATTATAAACGGATAAAATACTGTATAGTTTACATGCTAATACATTTGTAGCTCATTTATTTTCAATAACCATTAAAATGTGATTATTTATTGTGACAGATGTTAATGATTTATCTTAAACATGTTTGAACTTGAAGATTTTGATTTAGACGATGAAGTAAATATATTTTATATATTATAAAAGTTATACTTTATGATTAAAACTAAATTTAGTTTAAATTTTAAAACTTGTTGTAGGTGTTAATAAAAACTTAATTTTACAATTATATTTAATTACATAAATGTTTAATGTGTACATTATATTAGGCAGTTAATAGGTATTTAAACCAATACTTATATTAAAAAATACCTTATTAGTATCTACTTTTTTTTTTTTAGGTATTTCTTAATACCCAGATGCCAACTTTTATTAATAGATCACCAATAATATCATCAAATTCAAATCCTGTTTCTTCAAATTTTGAAGATGATGATGAAGTATAACAACTTTTATCTTAGATAAAATCGTTTAACATTTACATATCATATTTATTTTTCAGTTATTCCTTAATGTATCGAATCCAGTTTCTGAATTGAAAACTTTTCACTCTGAAAATACTGAATTAAAAATAACAGATACAACAAAAGAACAAAAAAAGGATAATGATGTAAGTACAATTATAAAATATGTACCTATTTACTATTAATACTAAAAAAAAATGTGATAAAAATGTTAGTATATTTTGTTTTTACTTTAACCAAAATAAAAATAAAAGTTCTTCTAATTTATTTTTAAGATACCACAAAATATATTTAAAACCCAATCCAAACCAGAAATTATAAAACCATTTAATGAAAGTCAGCCAAATAGAATTAAATTAAATTTTGATGAAGATTTTGATTCAGATGACGAAGTAATATATAAAATATATTGTTAGTAATATGCATTTTTAATTAATTATTTTTAAATTTTTATGTTTCAGAATTTTTTCAACACATCTAGTATAATAGAAGGTGCTATAAGTCCTTTGAAGGACAATGATTGTGCCACTAAATTTGATTTTGATGATGATCATAATGAGGTTTTTTCTATGAATACATTATTATACTATTATTAATATTATTATGTAAAATTAATCAATGTTTAAATCATATATTTTATTTACCTGAATATTATTGTCCTTAAATTATATTCCATGAATCAAAATAATATTTGTTAAATATGAATTATGATTTTCTGTATTGCTTATTTTAGGTTTCACTTGTCAACTCTGAAAGTTATCAATTAAAATCTTCAAACATAAAAAGTAAACTTTAAAAATTTTAAATTGATATATAATTTTTTTAACAATTTAACATAATAAATATTTATCTTATTTTTTGCTTACATTTATTAAAAATCATAAATTTATAATTTATTAAATTACCTCTGTCTAACACTTGTTTTCAGATTCTAATAAATCAAATTTCAATGGTAATTGTACAACTATTACGAGTGTAAAAATAATGACTCCAAAATGTACTTCTAGAAAATTTCCCGGACCTGCTGGTTTACTTTCTGAAAACGTAAATCCTTAATAATTTTATTTACAGCTTAAAAAAACTGTTTATCACCTTTTATTTATTTATTTCAAGTATACAGTTTTCTTTAATCTTATTTCCAGGAAGATCTATACTCAGAAGATCCTTTAAATTTAGAATCTTTGGACATGTCAATTAGCGTTAGCGAAAATGATAGCAAAGAAGAGGTAATTAACCTTATTGTTTCAAATATTTAGTATAGTTTATTACCAAAATATGAATTATTTTTTATTCTTTTATAATTATAGTAAAATTTAGACACTCACCCTTAATATTTTAAATATAATATACTACATTTCATGTTTTATTAATTTTGGCTTGTATTAATGATTTTCACTTAGAGTTTGTGCACTCAAGCAAATGATTCATCTTTTTCTTCATCGCCGTATCAACAATTTCTATCAGATTTTTTCACCACCGATGTTGATGTTTTATTAGATAAATTTAATGTGGCATGGATAAAGCAGAAACTTCTTCCGTATACTGCATCTGGTCGTTCTTTCACAGACAAAATACCATTTTTTGTTTCTGTTTTAAAAGAAATTGATTGTTTATCACCAGATCCAACAGTTCTACTTGCCGACAAAACAGGACATATTAGAGGAACAATCCATAGAGCTGTTTGGAACCAATTTAGCAATCAATTAAAAATAGGAGCTGTTTTAGTATTGATCAATGTTGGCGTATTATGTCAAAAAATACTAAAAGGGTTTACACTTAATATTACTGGTGATCATTTAGTTGCCATTTATAGTTGTTCTTCTGGTATGAATGGTATTGATAAATTTGATTAAGAAAAACTAATGTACTAATTTGAAATAATAACTTATAAAATTTTAGAGGATATTCAAGGAGTAATTGTTACTCGAACAACAGATATGACAAATGATGAAATTGTCAATGGAGCCAAGCAATGGAATGTATATAGTGCGGAAGCTTTAAATAAAAATTCCAATTCAGTTATAATAAAGAGTCAGATGAATAATAATTTAAAATTTCACGACATGTTGACTGATCATAATTCTCTACCATCAAATGTTAATAACCAAATCACAAATATTACTTCTGGCCAATCAACACCTATTAAAAGTGTTTTCAAACCAAAAACTCCTGTAGTTCATAATCTATTCAAAAGTGTTCTTAATAATTTTACAGAAGAACCGCCAACCAAACGGACAAGAAATGAATTAAAAATTGAAGATCAATGTTCAAATAATGAAATCTCTATTATTCAAAATATTTTTGAAGGAATCAATGAAGATGAAATGTTTAATGATTTTTGTTGTTGAAGTGTTCTTAAGCTGAAGATCTATTTTATTTTAAAGGTGCTTTTTAATTTTATAATTCAATTGTAGTCTGTAAGTTTTTTTTTTTTTATCTATTATTAAATCTAATTGTTATATAGTGACAACAATTTATCTTTACTGTTAATTTCATTGTAGGGTACATTATTTTTCATGCTTACAAATAACATCTTTGTTAAATCATTTTCTACATTCATAATAATATTAAACAAAATAATCATTGAAAGTAATTTCAATTATTTCAATTTTACCTAAGATTCTTAGTTTTATTGTTTTTAAGATTTTGTATAATTGTATACCATATTTAAGAGTCTTATTAATATTCCTTGTAGGTATGTTGATTTTTAAATTTTCTTAGTTATTTACAATTTTTTTATTTTTTTTGTTTTTTAAAAGTCTTAATAGTTCAGAAAATTAGGCAGTGCCTGATTATTTATTTCAAATTTAATACATATTTACAATAACACTACTATCTTGTTTATTTTTATGAGGTAATTGTCTAATACCAATTTGGTTTCTGTGTTACATCCACATTTTACAGATTACCTGAGTTTTAAGACTATTATATTTCATTTTCATTATTATTAATCATTACTAGGATATGTGAACTTACATTTTTAACATTTAATTAACACTCTTTGATAATTTGTTGCATTGCATATACAATTATTCATTGTACAATGCTTTTAATTGAAACAATTAACTTTAGACTTACATTTGTTTTTTTTAATTAATTTCAACAATTTGGCGAATAACCAGATTCTTTATCATTTTTCATAGATTATTCAATATAATATATATTTTTAATATTATAACTTATATTAACTACACTGAGTGGTATCTGGTGTAAATTAAAAAAAAGTAGACTTAAAAATAAAGTAGACTTAATAAAAAATAGACTTTTTGTTAAACTTTCATAACTATTGTACATGTAAGTTCAATTAAAATATGTTTCAGATATAAAGCTTTGTGATGATGTAACACTTTTCTGTGTCAGAACACAAAAAATATTTGTAGAAACACTTTCTGATTTCAAAAATCTAAAATCTAAATCACTTTTTTTTTTTAAATTCTCAAATTAATTGATTGGGATAAAAAGAACTGAGAATTATGCGAAGAAAAACTTAAAGAAATTAACTCATAAACATGTAGATATAAAGCTACATTAACTACTACAACTTTAATTTGGATATTTATGCGAGACTGTACTGAAACTACATAATGATGGAATGAATCGTTCTGGTAATCTTAAAATATATATTTTTTTTAAGTGATAATTTCATTGTTCTACCTTAAAAATAAATATGATTAAATACATATATATATATATATTTCCTGCTTATGAAACATAAACCTGGTAAAGATTAATAACAAAATATTTTTCAATTTTATAATAGAAATAAATGAGCAATTCAATTAATATTCATCATTTAAGTAATGAAAAACAACAAATTCTCTAAGAGTATTTAAATTGAACATAATTAATTACCTACTAAATAAAAAACTATAAAAAAACAACAGTGCTAGTTTATAATAATTAATATCATTTAAGTATAAAGTGTTTCATAAAGAACACAGTTTTTAATTTTTCTATAAATCAATTTTATTTTATAAGAAATACAAAATAAATAATATATATTATTTCACTACAAGTTAAGATTGTAAAGTGTGAACCCAATTTCGTGCATATGACCCCCTCTAATTGCTCGATACACATGACTAGTCAATGCGATTACTTATCATGTTTTCATAAACTTACCCATTAAGTTCACTGATAACTTATTGAATTTCTTGTTTAAAATGCAATGAAGTTCATGAATTGTTTTTATAAACCAATGATTTAATGAAGCCCCAAAGGAAGAAGTCATAGAGAGTAAATCACGCGACATTGGTGGCCACTGCTGATTGTTACGCAGGGAAATGGGTCGGCTGTCAAAATTTTCAGGAAACAAAAGTATGACAGGGAGCATCGTTTTGCTGGAACCACTTTTCTTCAATGTCCATATCATCTAGAAAAGGCTAAGGAAAATTGAAAATCATGTTTCAATAATAATCCCCATTCACTGTTTCTGATTTTCATGTTAATCTTCAAAAATGTATGGGCCTATCATTCGCCTGCCCAAAAGCCATACCAAACAGTTACTCACTATGAATGCATTTGTTTTTCCTTGATTGCCCTTGGATAAACTTAACTTCTTCTTTTGGGGACTCATTAAATCATTGGTCTATATAGACTGTGAACTTGGTCAAATTTTAAGCAAGAATTTCAATGAGTTATCAGTGAACTTGATAGACAAGTCTATAAAAGCGTAATTAGTAATTGCATTGGCAGTTACTATGTGTCTAGTGATTAGAAGGGATAATATGAATTATATTGTGCTTTACACTTAAACCTCAACTTGTAGTGATGTATTTTTTATAAAATAAATTGAATAATGGCAATATTAAAAAATTTGTTCTTTAAGAATACCCTATATTTAATATAAAAATAAATTTAAGATTCTTACAATCTTACTATAAGAAGGTTTTATTGTTATGAACCAAATATTAGTGTTAAAAACTTTGAATTCAAAATAATTTAAGAGCATTGTAAATATAATAAAAAACAACCAATATCTTTAAGTTTAATTAATTTTAAATCATGGTAAAAATAGATTTATTTATTAGCATAATGTAACAAATTGTCATCACAGATAAGTTACATAATATAGTAAAAAATAATAATATATTTCTTTCATACAATATACATTAAAACATGTATAGTTTACTAAGTATATCCGTGATACACATTTACGAACTTATACTTACATAATTATTTTGATTTCACAAATTGAAATCTAAAGTAGAAGTTTTAATTACAGTTAAAAAAAATATAATAAAATTTTAAATTCATCTTAAACAAAAAAATTAACCCAATATTAATAAATTATCTTGTAGTAAATGAAAAAAACCATTTTACTTTTTCCTCTTTCAGAATTAACCTCAAGACTAGTGTATCAATATCAAGTAAATTATCAAATAAAACCCTCAAAAAATTTAAATATTGAACCTGAGCACATATTATGTATTTAAATTATACACATAAAATTACCAAAATATTGTGTTCAATTAAACTTGATAATACTGATTTTTGTTTACTGTTACAAATTTGGGTATTTTAAAATAAGATTAATAAATCTCATTACTATTTTATATCAACAAAACAACAATAATAATAAATAAATAATATATTAACAGGAATAAATTAATAAAAAAAAAAAAAAAACTAGAATATATTTATTTTATATTGCAATTTTTATATAAAAAAAGAAAATTGTTTTTTTTTTTAAGGTAATCGATTAAAAAATTATGTTTAATGCTCAAATATCGTTAAAAAAAAGTTTTCATGTATTAAATTATTTTATTCATGTTTAAATTTGATAATGTGGCAACTTAACGGCAATTTTCCGTCTAAGTATACACGTATGTGTCAGTGTAGTAATGACATATACTAAAATCACCTGCCATATATCATCATTGAAATACAGAAACCAATCTATACCTAATAATATTAAGAATAGTGTCCACCCTATTTTCCATCTATACATTTGCTTGTGTGTAAGAACATAAATTTGAGCTAATCTGAAGAGAATACTACAAAAGTGAAGCCAACCAGTATCCAGTGAGTCATTATCCTGAAACAGTACAACAGTTAATTTTTAATAAAGTTAAATTGAAAAATAGTGGTTTGTAAAAAGATAAAAATTAAAAAGTCTATAAATATTTTCCATCCATATTATTATTTTCTAGTTAAAATGTAATTAGTTGTATAGGTATATACTAAATGTTGTTTACACTATTTAAATCATTATTATTATTAAAAATATTACATACCTCAGCCGTCCAACTCCTCCATGTATCTATTACTATGACAATACTATGAATAATTAAACATATTGTAAAAATTAAAGATGTTTTATCAATGAAAGATAAAGGTTCTAAAGTAGGCAGTGGTCCAACTGAAAAAAAAAATGATGTTAATTATTTACCTATATTTTTAAACAAGATATTGGGTATATAATTTATACTCAAAAATAATATACAAATATAAATATACATATTATATCATTTTGTTTTTTACAATATTACTTTAAAAAAGTAAAATATAATACAGAATTCTACAAATATTAGGAATTTACATTCACTAAAGCCATTATAGAATAATTTTATGTTATTAAATTTAAAATTAATCATAAGAAAGGTGGAAAAGGCACTTATTTTTTACATGGTAGTTGTCAAATGAATCATTGAGATAGACACTAAATTTGACTCCAATGATATATCATTACATAAGAAAAATGATGCTGAGTAAAGATGGTTTGTTCAGCTTATATCACCAAGTATATTAATTCATGATACGCTTTTTAATATTTCTATTAAATTAATTTAATTTACTATTAATATTATGATATAAATTATAAAAATTTAATTTTTACCAAAATAATTTCAATTGAACATATTGTATGTATAAAATATAAAAATATATCCAATAGTTGTATTAATTTCCCTATGAATAATGTTTTTGGACTGTAATCAAATAATGAATATTGTTATTTATAGTTTAAATATTTGATTTTGTCCAAATTAAAACTACAAACACTTATTAAAAATTAATATGATTTTCTGGTAAACCTTTTTTTTCTTAAAAAGCGTACAAAGAATTTAATATTAAAATTTTAAATTTAAGGAATAAAAATTATTTATTTGATTAATTTATAGTTACAAAATAACTTGAACATTTTTATGATTTCACAAATTTTGTCAGAATTCAAAATTAAAATACATATAAAAATATAAGTACGTATTTTCAATTTTTTTTTTTTTTAATTGGAAATTGAATAACTTATAAAGAATTTAGTATTAAATTTTTAAGTATTTTTACCCAGTGAAGAATATTATAAAACGTATGTATTTAGAAACTATTAAATAAATCATCATTTCAAAAAGCATTAAAAAGTAGAGAATATAAGATTATAAGTAGAACTTTATTATTTTTATTTATAAGTATTCTATTATACCTATACCAATATAAACTCATTATTGGACTTAATTATAAATTTTAAATTTACCTCGTACAGTCGGAGGAATAACTTGTGTACAAGTATTATTTATAGAATTTTCTTCAACAATAAATACTTCTTGAGGTGGATCTAATGTAATATCACGAGTAATTTCAGCCAAATTTATTCTGGATGTCAGTTGTTGCGGTTTATTATACATTTGTTGAATAGGATGTATAGTAGTATCTAAATTATATTGTAAGAATATGAATTAATGTTAATATTAATAAACCATATACTGACCAATAGGCAGTATATTTTTTATAAAATTAAACTATACATTAATATTTTTTTTTTCTAAGTATGATCTCAGAAAATAATTTTCAACTATAAAATTGCATGCATACATCAGAACATTTAAAAATTTAACATGTAATTTAAATTTTGATAATTGGAGAATTTTTTTCATAGGTGAACTATTAATATAAAGATTAAAAAAATAAGTTTTTGAAAATGTATGTTTACTTAAAAAAAAATCATTTAATTAAAGCTATCTAGCTGAACATTATTACCAATGTAATCTACATAATTTTCTAAGTTCTTAAAATATTCTTGATAATGGAAATATAATATAATAATGAATTTTTAATACTAAGCACTACAAATAACTATTTTCGTTTTTATTTTAAAAATACAATTTTTGGATGTTAGTTACTTATGAACATATGTTTGCAAATTTTGGGAAAGTATTTTTTATTTTTGATATAGGAGAATATTTTGTCAAGTGTGTTAAGTTCATATGGCAATTAAAATACATTTATTAAGAGTAAAGAAAAATAATTAGATGAATTAGAAAAAACTAAGATATATTTTGAAGAAAAGCTCAATCACAATCTGAATTCAATTTTATTACATTTTTAAGATATTTGGTCGTATTTTTATGGGTTTTTTCTAATTTTCTAAAAAAAAGCATTAAAGTTTGTGTTATAGTAGCATACATAAGTATATATTAAATTATGCAAATACATCAAACAATTTAAAAATAAATATTTTAAATATATTACCAAATTCAATAAGATGATAGGGCCTTAAAGCTTGTTCAACTTTAAAAGGCTGATATTTTTTTGTAAATTCTCCAGCTAGTTCTTCTAAGAAGCTGTAGGCTAAGACTTGAGGATATGAAGGATTGCACATGGCCATGCAAGTTATATTTAAACATGGTAAAAAGCTAAAACAAATAAATTTAATAGATAAACATTACAATATTTAAAATTATTAATTTATTACATATCAAGTTATAGGCCATTAATATTATGAAAAATAAAATAGTCTTAAATAAAATACCTATTAAAGTTTGAATTTTATGTATCATTAAAATAAAAATGTTTTATACAAATTGTAAAAAATTCATTTTTCAGCTTGATAATTTTAGTTTTGGCATATATGTATCAAAAAATAATATAAAAATAAGATTTCATCAAAGATAGATACTAAAGTATCTATAAAGGATGAAATCTATATGTTTTTTCTTTCTTGTTGTCGGACAACATGGATAAATTGCATTCAAGCAAAATCAGATTTTTTTATATTTTTGAGTAATATTGAGAGGAAAATCACTTTTATAAAATTATAAAGAATAATATTTTAGGGAGTATACATATCAATTTGTCTAAATATTGTCTCAAAACAATATAAAATTTATTTAAATTTACAAAAAAAAAATTTTTTAAGTTAAATACTTAGTCAAATAATAATAAAATATACAGTCGATAGTCAAACACTCAAAAATATTATCCTTCATAATTTTTGTGATAAGTTTTATTTTACTCAAAAAATCATAAAAAAAAAAAAAACTATTTTATGAGATAGCATTTTATTTTGAGCGTGGGTCTATGAAAGGAAATAAATATTTTGCTGACATCTTAATAAGTGGTACAAAAATCTCAAATATTTAAAAATATGGTCTTAGAATGTATTTAAAAATTCTAAATATCCGATTTCAAATAACTCTGGTATTAAAGAAAAAATGAAGAAAACATCCTTATAATTCATTAAGTATACAGCAAATTTATACATGTTCATAATCTAAAAAATTATACATTAAAGGATTAAACACTTATTTAAACAAAAAACTCAAATATATTATTGAATATTTAATATTTATTTTTATAATAATAAAGTAACAAAAAAAATATTTATAGATATTTTACCTACAGTAAGAAAATATTATTAAAATGTATCAATTAAAAACAATTAATATATGTGCACACAGTAATTAATCAATATATGTTTAAGCATTACATTTAGTTAATATTTTAAAATATACAGTCTTTTTTTAATACTTTTTAAAGATAGTATTTTTAAACCTATATGTAAGCTTATTTTTGATTAAGTCATTCAAACATTTAAAAAAATATATACATACTAATAGGTTTTGTCGTTGATGCGAAGGAAACATTTATTTTTGGGTATATCATTTTTCTTTAAAACATTCTTTACAATCTTGTTAATTAATTTTAAGTCAATGGCACTCTTGCCATTACTACAGTGGTAATTGGTAGTGGACGTCAGAGGTAGGAGATCCCGACTTCTTAAAATTAAAGCATACAAAATCATATCCTTAAGTTGATGTACTACTAGTTTTACACTTAAGAGAAGTTCATTATTAATTAACAACAGAAATTTTTATTACTGTTTGTATATTTTAATGGCTAAATTGAGCGCTTAAATTCAAGATTAAAAATTAATAAGTAATAACTAAAAATTAATAACATTTGGAAAGTATTGAAGAATTAATATTTTAATTTTTTACACTTAATGTTAATAACTAATTTGCTAATAATAATAATTACAACTACTATATAGATATGCAGTATTATTAATTTATTATAGTTTTCGTGGCTATTATCAGTTAATCTTATCATTTTATCATTTCACCGATTCAGTTGTACCACGACCGTCCCAAAATACTATAATATCAAAGAATAATCGTAATATTTGATTTAAGAGTGGTGTTCAAGCTCAAGTCAAATCAAAATAAAATAAAAACCATTTCATTTATGAACTACTTAAATAATAATTTAGTCTAGGACCTAGATATACGTATAAGTGTATAGCCGTATAAAGTATTTATGCATAAATATGTATTTTTTATAAACGATTTTGAATTAAATTTTGATTTTAATTTAAAATAGGCAGTTTACTAAAACGGCTTACTTATATTTTTTTCTCAGATATAAAATTTTATTTAAATCGTTTTGCGTTTAATTTTAGTATGAACTGAGGTTAAATACAAAATGCGACTTTTAGTTCCTTAGAATTATTTGACTTTAAAATGTGACCATAGGTTATAAACAAAAATCGAATCATACACTGATACAACTAAATCTTACCTACACGATTACATATATGATATATATAAATAATATGTTCTACAGGAAATCGCAAATTATTCGCAATAAACAACAATTCTAGTTAGAAACTGTATGTAAACACGTATGCGGTATGTCATAATATGGTAAGCACTATTCAGTATAATTATTTTTTTTTAATATTATAAAACTATTTATTAAACCTAACAATTATAAAACAGAGTATAAATTATTAATATTTTTTTATTTATATTAATTTTTTATTGTATATTCTACAAGCATTGCTAAATTATATTATTGATACTGATGTCATTATGTACAATATGTACATAGTATAGTTTATATTAGGCAGTGGCGTAATGGTAATGCTAGAAATTAGAATTAAAAGCAGTAATTTTGTAATTACAAGAAAACTGTCAAGAACTCAAAAATATTCATCAATATGGAAAAATTATTAGCGATTTTGAATTTCTGGCATAATTTTCTATCTGTTTTAATAAAAAGTACACTCAACATTTTTAATTAATTAGAAAATGATAAAAACACAAACTTTATTTTCCTGATAATTTTATATTTGTAGTTACTGATATTCCATGGTAGCAATGCATACCATAGATTAAATTATATTATAATCATATTATTATTATTAATTATATTTAATCTATGTGCATTCATACTAAAATGTAATACAATAATGTATATAAAATGCCTATACATGTTGTTACAGGCTAAATTGTTTGAAATTATGTATTATTAATAATTGTTTTATTTTATTATACTACTAGTTATTAATTATTAAAATGAAAACTAATCAGTCAGTAGTTTAGTACTATATATCTGGAGTGTCGTTGCTGAATTTTCTTCTATTCCAGTGGTTCCTAAACTGGAGGGGGGGCACAAGCAGTCATCACAAAGTAAAATTTTTATTTATCAAATTTTATTATATTAAAAATTCCACTATAATACTATATTATTTACAATTATTTATATTTTATAATTACTATCATCAATAAAAAAGTAGTCTTTCCGAATATTATATAATATATATTTTATATATAAAATGTGAAGTAAACAAAAAAAAATTATAATTTTTTCAATTTATGGGTGGGGTTGGGCGAGATTTATGAAAATCTACAAAGGGGGCGTAGAATAAATAAGGTTGGGAACCACTGTTCTATTCAAACCACATAACTGCTAATTCTAATTTCTATTTTATTGACTTATTGTACAAACAATGACGTACCTATAGATTATTGAATTTCTCAAATAAAATTTAAAAAAAAAAAAGTTCTATACTTACATTTTATTGATACCTTAAGTATAGTTTATAGAAACTTTAATTTATCATTTATTTATAAAAATTTAATGTTCAATAGCTTGCTGATAGTTAGTTTAAAATCAAAACACTTTAGAAAAATGATTTTAGTCTGTATACGGATTTAGCTTTCGATATATTTACTTAAGAATTATTCTGCTCGTATTTATTAGTTGAAATAATATAACCCCTTTAGCTTAATCCGTAGTTATTACTTAAATTAGTTATTTTTAAATGTTTAAAATATAAATCTAGCTGTAAAATTAGTATAAATATTGTAAGTATATATAATTTTTATACTTTACAGCCTTGATTAGGTTATATTTAGTTGGCTGTCCGTCTGTACCCTAAACCTATTTTTATTGAAATTATAGGTGTACATAAATATTTAGGAACATCACACATGTTGGATAGTGATTTCCCATTGACTTTAATATGGTGGGGGAGGGGGAGGACTGATGGCTGTTCTTTTTCTTCGACAGTTGCCAGCTCTAGAGAGAAAAAAACCACCCATGACCGAGATTTGAACAGACAACGTTACACGTTGATACCATCGCCTTACTCTACTCGGCCACTCCGTATCCTAGAATTTATTAAAAATTGTTATAGTATTCATCTCACGTATTAGTTATCATATGCTCAGATATAAGTATTGAGTAGTCTTATGTCATAAACTAAGATGATTTATTAGCATTTTGTTTCCATGTATGATAGCCAGTTATTGAAAACGCCTTAAATGGCTTACATTATAGATTAATTATTTCATTGGAATTATAGTTTGTAAATGGACTGATGAAACCTCTGTGTTTATTAGATCCCATGTTATTTTTAGGAATAAGATATAATAATTCATTTAAAGAAAAAAATAGTAATTAATACCGGATTTGATAAAAAAAAACTAGTGGTGTATGTATCCTTCAGCTTGTCATTTATACGACATTCTTTTCGTCCTTTTTCTTGCTTACGCAAATGGGGAAGATGAAGAGTGAATGTCAATAATGAAAGATTGCGTCTTAATACAAGTACGATTAATGACTAAATTACATTAATAAACTGTTTTTATAACAGAGCAAAAAATGATTAAATATTACAAAATATATATAAATGTAGATATATGTATAACAATCATATAATATATATTTATTATGAAGTGATTTGGTAAAGAGTATAGTCTATAATGGTGTATGTATTTAATATTCTTATATCGTATAATACAGCTAAAATACTGTAGCCTATACTTAATTGGGCTTTTTACTATTCATCTGTAACTAATGACGTTGTTTTAATATTTTAAAACAAAAAAATCTTAAAAAATTATTTTAAATTTTAACTTTACTATTGCATGTATACATATTTTAATATCGAAAGATGGTAGTCAATGTTTAATTCTCAATTTAAATATTTGGTAGAGGTAACTATGAGTACTAGTAAGTATTTTAGTATATTTTAGTAACTACTTAAAAACATAATATTTTTGGAATAGGTATTCTTTTTGGCTAAACATTTTTTTTTTAATATATGAAAGGAATAAGCATACATAGTAAACATTTAAAATTATGAAAGGAATAAGAATACATTGTAAACATTTAAAATTATGATAATATGATAGTTAAAAATCTATAATAACCTTTAAATAAGCCTATAAAATTAAAAAAAAATATGTAGGTACCTATTTAACTAAATATTATTTAATTAAAGAAATGCATACGCATTGTGAGCCCTAACGGCTACATAGATTATTAATAAACAAATTTGAGTGAAAATACATATAGATAGTAAATGCTTTTAGGTATGTATTTTAACAATTTAGTATAATGATACAATAATACTATTATAATATAATAAGGCTATGCATATCATTTTACATGGCTCTTGTATTATAGTTGTGTTAATTATACTCGATAATTGATTCATTATATATTATTAATTATTAAAATATATAATATTTTTAATTTACGCGTTACTATTTTTGAGAATAATTAAAAATTGTAATAATAAAATACAAACATAATATTCATAATCATGTGTGTAAAAGACTTAAGTAGGAGTAAATTTATTATATACTAATATACCATTAATTATAAAATAATATAGATAATAATAATAAAATATAGTATCTACAACAAATGAGTATATTAATATCCTGTATCTTAATACATATTTTAATCAATGTTTGTTCTGAACGAGGAATATAAATCGACTAATTTCTTGTCGCACTTTTTAGTGTATAGTATAATATTATAATATTATTATTAGTTTGTATATTTATACACACATGTATTATTATTATTACATCGACATTCGAGATTCGGCATATTTGAAGGAATAGAGAAGTGTATTGTCACTATAAAATATCTAACGGACTAAACTATACATCTGGTTACCATACATATAATACACTATCAGCTATCATAAAAATTACACGTGTTTACTATAAATTGTAATATGGATTGTTTTTAATTCAGTCAATACTCAGCATTCAACATTCTTTACTCATATAACATTCTGTGACTATAGAGAATCAGTATGTTTGATCTTTAATATAATTGAAATTGTCATTAATGAGTGTCTTTTTTGTCAGGGTTTTTATATAATCATTAATTTCTTGAATATGAAGATATTTGTGAAGATTAGCATATCTTACGAACCATGGGGCATTTGCAATTATTCTTAATACTTTATTTTGAACAGTTTGAATTTGTTTAATGTGTGATATAGTAGGCGTAGGTAAGAAGTGGATGTATAATTTGTTTGTAAATTAGGAGAGAGCATTTTTTTCTGTAAGGTTGATTTTTTATTCAGTATGGGATAAAGCATAGAAATGCGCTGGTAAGCTTGCTGAATTTTGGATGAAATGTGAAGCCGTCATGTGAGTCGTTTATCGAGAATTAAAAAAGCAACGTCTAATTTATATCACAACAGTCATATAGATTTCCTTTAAGACCTTAATAAGTTGTTTCTTATTTTTCACTGTTATATTTATTTTTAAATTACAGGCTGAGCATTAGGAACGAAAATGGTTTATAACATAAATTAAACAAAAATTCAACGGTAATAATTAATAAAAATAATAACAA